TGCAAAGAAAGACGACGACTCCAACGACCAACAAGGAGGTACCGGTTGGGGTCGCGGTGCGAAATCTGGACGTGGGGGCAAGTCGGGTGCTGGTGGCAAAATGAAAGGGAGTTGCTGGTATTGTGAGAAGGAAGGGCACCCCTGGTTTTTGTGCTATAAGAAACCCGATGGATGGACCCCCCAGAATCGTCACCAGGATGGCGGCGCGCGGAGGAACCAGAAAAACGGCGCCAACATGGTCGCTGATTCGTCCGACAACAACCCAAAGGGCAACGGCGGTGCGGAGAAGAAGAAGGAGCGCACCGCGGGCCAATTCTTCCATGTGGGAGACAAGGGGGAGCAAGGAGACGCCTCTGCCAAAGTTGGAGCAGAGCTGCACCCCCTAGACTATTGGGTGTTGGACACAGGCGCTGCTTGGACGATGACGCCGCGCAAGGACCTGCTGGACGAAGTACGAGCTGCACCGATCAATGAAGTGTGCTCCGCCTCTGGACACATGTTGAAGGTGGCTGGTGCGGGACGAGCTGCGTTTAAGGGAGCGGATGGCAAGCCGGTGGTGCTGCACGACGTTCTCTTCGTCCCCGACCTGAAGGCCAACCTTATCTCCCTCCGTAAGCTTGGCAAGGCTGGGGTGAACACCAACACGGATAGGGCACGCACTTATAAGGGGCAGCTGGGCAATCGGGTGCTTTGGGATCTGCACGAGAGCAAGGACGTGTACAGATCTATGTGGCAGCTGCCGGCCCTGGCGTGGCATGGTGGGGGGCAGGCTGGAGAGGGGTCTGCATCCCAGGGGGAGTGCAATGCCGTTGGAGGGGTTGGTGTGAAAGTGTCGGCCAGATCTGGGGAGACAGATTGGGCAACGGCACACCGGCGCTTAGGGCATGTGGCAATGCCTTTGCTGAAGCAGCTGGAGAAGGATGGAGCCGTTAAGGGTCTGAAGCTGAACGGACAGCCACCCGATGACAACTGTGAAATCTGTTTGCTTTCAAAGTTCACCCGTTTCCCTTTCCATAGTGTGGCTGGCAGGAGCAAGAAGCCTTTGGAGCTGGTCCACATGGACTTGGTGGGGCCGCTGCCGGTGCAAGGGCACAAGGGGGAGCGGTATTTTCTTACAATTGTGGATGACTGGAGCAGGCTGATGTGGGCGTATCCGCTGAAGCAGAAGGACCACGCCGCCTCCACGATACGGGACGATTGGCTGCCATTCATGGAGAAGCAGGCGGAGTGTGTAGTGAAGCGGATTAGGACAGACCGGGGTGGTGAGTTCCTTGGAGCTGAAATGACGGCCTGGCTCAAGAAGCAGGGCATCCAGAGAGAGCTGACCACGGCTTATACCCCACAGTCCAATGGTGTAGCAGAACGGGCAAACCGGACCATTCTGGAGACAGCTAGGGCGCTGCTCATAGAATCTGGGCTGAGCAATTCTATGTGGCCTCATGCTGTCCGGCACGCCACTGTCGCTAGGAACAGGGTGCTCACCAAGGTTGGGGATGACTCGTGGGTGCCTTTGGAGAGGTGGCTTGGGAGGAAGCCGCCGGTGGACATGCTGAGGGTGTTCGGTTGCATGGCAGTCGCCCACGTCCCCAAGACCTACCGAAGTAAGTTGGGGGCGAGTGCAATCTGGTGTGTGCATTTGGGGCTGGCTGCTGAGAGCAAGGGATGGCTGCTGTGGGAACCATCCAAGGGTGTGTTGTTTGACAGCAGGGATGTGAAATTCATTGAGGGCATGATGTATGGGAGCTGGGAGAAACAGCCGGAGGCAAGGGTGTCCCAGCAGATGGAGCAGATCACCATGCAGCTGGACCTGACTCCTAGTGTGTGGGAGGAGGGAGAGGAGGCAGCTGCTGGAAATGGTGATGGAGAGAAGGTACAGGAGGCATCTGCTGGTGGAGAAAATGGTGTGGAAACTGGCAGCAGCACTAGTGGAGCTGCTGGACCCGAGGGAGGAGAGAAGCAGCAGGGAAAAACTAAGAAGCCGAAGGGTGTCGTTATGAAGGGATGGGAGACACCCGTCTCCAGGCCAGGACGTACCCGTATGGCTACTAAGAAGCTGACTGCAGGAACTGATGCAGCAGAGCAGCAGCTAGGGACCGAAGAGGCATTGCTGATTCTACCTCATGGCTATGACCCGGATGAGGAGGATGAGCCTGCGTACTGTTTTCTTGCCCCTGCACCAGAGGAACCAGCTAGCATGGAGGAGGCATTAGCTGGACCAGATAGGGACAAGTGGCTGGCTTCTAGGGATGCTGAGTACCAGAGTCTGCTGGAGAATAGGACATGGGATCTGGTGGTGCTGCCTGATGGGAAGAAAGCGATACAATGCAAGTGGGTGCTGAGGATCAAGACCGATGACAAGGGGCAGGTCACCATCTACAAGAGTAGGCTGGTGGCGAAGGGGTTTATGCAGAAGGAGAAGCAGGACTTCAACGAGATCTTTGCTCCCACTGCCAAACCCCCTACCCTCCGTGTCTTGTTGGCAGATGCAGCTGTTAGTGGGAAATTCATCATTCAGATGGATATTTCAACGGCATTCCTGAATGGGATTTTAGAGGAGGATGTGTACATGACGCAGCCGCCTGGGTATGAGGATGGTACGGGCAGGGTGTGCAAGCTCAACAAGTCCATCTACGGCTTGAAGCAGGCGCCACGCTGCTGGTACCAGAAGTTGGCAGCTGTTTTAGAGGAGATGGGATTCAGGACCAGCAGCTGTGATGAGAGCCTCTTTCTCAAGGGCGAGGGGGAGAAGCTGGTGCTGTTTCTGGTCTATGTGGACGACATTCTTCTCTTCAGCAGCAGCATGAAGGAGATCCAGAAAGTGCAGCAGCAACTGATGGAAAACTTCAAGTGCAAGAACCTTGGGGAGGTAAAGTACTACCTCGGGATGCACGTGGAGAGGGATCCAGATCACAGGTGGTTGAAGCTGCACCAGGAGAAGTTCATCAAGGAGCTGGGGGAGAAGTATGGGATTGAGAATGAGCGCAAGGTTGCAACTCCCCTGCCAGCAGAATTCAAGCTTGTGAAGGCTGCAGAGGATGAAGGGGTTGAAGCTGAAGAGCAGCAGCAATTTCAGTCCTTGGTGGGCAGCCTCTTGTACGCAGCAGTTCACACGAGGCCCGACATCTCTTTCTCGGTTGGGCAGCTGGCTAGGGTGGTGCAGAATCCATCAGAGGAGCAGGTGGATGCAGCTGAGCGTGTGGTGAAGTACCTGAACTCTCACCCAAGCATTGGAGTTCAATACTCCGCATCTGCACAGGTGAAGCAGAAAGGGGTGGAGGTGCTGAAAGAGAAGGGGGAGAGGCTTGGAGAAGGCAAGCTATTTCTCACTTGCTTTACCGATGCTACATGGGCTTCTGAGAAGGAGGATTCCTCATCTGTGGGAGGATACATCTGCGTAGTTGGGGGAGGACCTGTTAGTTGGAGGTCCAAGAAGCAGACGGAGACGGCACTCTCTTCCGTAGAATCAGAGTACATGGCGATGTTCCATGGGGTGAAGGAGGTGATTTGGCTGAGGAGGCTGTTAGAGGAGATTGGCCAGGAGCAGAAAGTTGCTACGCCGCTGTTTTGTGATAGCAAGGGGGCTCTTGGGATGGCCAGAAACGCTGTGCTTCATGGGCTGAACAAGCACATGCGTATCAAGTGGCACTGGCTGCGTAAGGAGGTGAAGAGGGGGACGGTGCATCCGATCTACATCAAGACTCACCAGCAGCCAGCAGACTTTCTCACCAAGAGGCTTGCGGATGAGCCTCATTGGCGTTGTGTGCGCATGAGTGGAATGAGCATGAACTAGCATGGAATGACGGGGATGCAGCCGGCAGGCTGAGGGGGAGTGTGTTGGGTGCAAATGCACATTGCACGACATCCTGCCGTCTGTTTGTACGAGTATGCGTGTGCGAATGCATTTGCGTGTGAATGGTGTGTTCGTGTGTTTGTTTGCTTTCGCATTTTTCGCTTGATGCATTTGCAGGTACTCGCGAAATGTGCGCTTCGGCACAACATTGTACGCGCTATGAACAGTGCAAGCAGAAAGGACGAGCTCGCAAAGGAACCCAAGATGGAAGCTTTGCAGTTCGGTTGAATTGATTGCGCAGATTCAGTTCTATCCAACTCGAAATTGTACTGTTTTGTTTGGTTAACTATAGTGTAGCAGGGAAGGCACTATAGGGGTACAATTTAGGTGAAGGTTGGATGTTGTTTGTCTGTATCTGCATGCTACAAGGCCAGGGGAAACCAGCGGAACCAGCATTTGGCTGGTTGGGCAAAGACAAAACAGGTTCTGTTTTTAGAACCTGAACCTGGTTGTTGTTTTCCCAGGTTGGAAAAACAGAACCAGAGGTTGTTTACCAACCTACCACCTGCTATTTTGTCCAGCCAGGTTGGTTCTGTTGCTTGGAATTATTTGGGATCATCCCTGGTTGTTCCCAGGTTGATTCCCAAGGTCCTTGCTAGCTAGAACTATTTAATCCTTCTCTGTTTGTACCTGAATATAGTCAATTGATTCATGCGAATTCCTTCCTCGCTGGAATTTCGTTTCTGCGCTATTCGACGGCGGAATGCTACCCGAGTCAACGCTAGTATGCTAGCACTCCAACGCTAGGCAAACGCTGTCCGAGCCATAACTTAGTAATGGCAGAACTTTTCGCGAGGCAACTTGGCTCATTTTAAAGCTCTTGGAGCGAGCTTCGATATAGCGAATTATCAGCTTAATCCGACCGACGGTCTGCACGGCACGCTGCGCGACGTTCAAGGTACTCTTGCTGTTTTGACTAAGTCCTTCTTGATCCCTCTCTCTACAAACTCGGACCCGAGGATAGGGGCTGGTCTTGTACCAGGCACCCAGGGACCCTTGGAGGTGACCCCGAGGAGAGGTTTTAAGTTTGATTAAGTCCTAATAGCTTGAGTTTATTAGGCCCTTACACCAACAGACCTCACTTCTGGTGCCTCTCCTGCACCTGCTGCTGATGCTGACGCCACTGTTCGCTCACAGTGGGCCACGCGCGATGCTGCTGCTCGCCTTGCTGTGCGCCGCCACTTGCCGACCGCTGAGCGTGCGCACTTTAGCCAGTACAAGAGTGCTAAGACCTTGTACGACGCTGTAGTTGCACGCTACTCTTCCCCTGCCACTGCTGCACTTAGCCGCCTCATCCTACCGTACCTCTTCCCTGACCTCGCCGCTTTTCCCACTGTCGCTGACCTCATTACGCACCTTCGCACTAGTGACACTCGCTACCGCGCTGCGCTTCCTGCTGAGTTCTGCGCCAAGAACCCCCCCCCCCCCCATGTACATCACCCTCTACTACATAGTCACCCGGCTCCCTGACACCCTTCGCCCGGTTAGGGACCACTTCCTCTCTGTTTGCCCCACCACCCTCACCGTTGCCCTCCTCGAGGAGCGCCTTCTAGCGGCAGAGAAGAGCATAGTCGCTGTAGGAGCCTCTCGTGGTGACCCTCGTACCCCTGTCTTTGAGGGGTGCTCCCCCTCTCCCCTCCTGCCCTCTGTTGCCTCTGCTGCTGCGGTCGACCTTGTTGGTCTTGAGTCGGTCGCTGCGGCGTCTGCCCCTAGCGGGAGACGCCGCCCTGGCAAGGGCAAGGGGGGCAAGGGTGCTGGAGGAGCTGGCGGGGGCGGTGGAGGCGGAGGTGGAGGTGGTGGAGGGGGTGGGGGTGGCGGTGGGGGTGGTGGCGGGGGTGGGGGCGTCAGTGGCGGCAGTGGAGGCGGAGGCGGAGGCGGCGGTGGCGGTGGGAGCGGAGGTGGCGGAGGTGGCGGTAGTGGAGGAGGTAGCGGCGGAGGAGGTGGAGCTGGTCGGGGTGGCGCTGTCCAGAGGGTTGGCTCCGGTGGTGGTCAGCGCCAGCAGCAGCAGCAGCGCGCTCGTGAGATCCCCCCCCCTCAGCAGCTTCGTGAGTGGTACGCTGCACGTCAGCGGGGTGGGGGTACTGGTCCGTGCACCTACGTCTTCCGCACCGGCGACCCCGCGGGTGAGCAGTGTGGGGGTGCGCACTCCACCCAGCGCTGCTTCGGCCGTCTGACGGACGCGTGGCGTCACCAGTTCCCCGACGCTACTGAGATCCCTCGCTGGGGCGAGCTGTCTAGGGATGGTGTTGCGATCTTTGATCTTGATTATGATGCTATTCTTGCTGCCATGTATGCTGTGACTATTAGTGATGAGGGTGACTGTTACCGGTGTTTTCCGCCTGACCCAGGCATAGAGGCTGCTGCGCTAGGTGCTTGTGAGGCTGCTGCTCTAGGTGCCAGTGCGTCTGCCGCCCCAGGTGCCGGTGAGTCTGCGCTCTCAGGTACTGCGTCGTCTCCGGACACCCACACCTTCACCCTTGACTCGGGTGCTTCCCGCTCCTTCTTTCGAGACTGCACCACTCTCACGCCACTCAGTCGGCCCGTTGCAGTCTCCCTGGCAGACCCCTCTGGGGGTCCTGTCCTTGCCCACTACTCCACTGTCCTACCGTGTCCAGCGGTCCCGTCTGGCTCCCTGTCGGGTCTTTACCTCCCCTCGTTCTCTACGAACTTGGTGGCGGGTGCTGACCTACAGGATGGGGGAGTTGACCAGTTCACCCCTGCTCGTCAGCGGGTGACTCACTGCACGTGTGCAGACACGGGCCGACACTTGGCCACGTTTACCCGTCGGCCGGGGTCGAGCCTGTACACACTGACTACTGAGTCTCCTCCAGTCACTGAGTCTGCTCAGGTAGCAGCGTCGGGTCAGGTGTTTGCTGCGGCGTCCAGGTCTGGTCCTGAGTCTGCCCCCTGCTCGTGTCGTCTCCTGTCCCACCGGACTCTCCTCTGGCACCACCGTCTTGGTCACCCCTCCCTGCCTCGTCTTCGAGGCATGGCTTCCCGTCTTCTTGTCTCTGGCCTCCCCCGGTCCCTCCCTCCCCTTCCTCCGGGGCCTGCCCCCACCTGCGTTCCCTGCGTCGAGGGGCGGCAGCGCGCTGCCCCTCACTCCTCCGAGTTTCCTCCGACAGAGGCTCCGCTGCAGACGCTTCACATGGACGTGTGGGGCCCTGCCCGCGTCCGTGGACAGGGTCACGAGCGTTACTTCCTGCTGGTGGTTGACGACTACTCGCGTTACACCACAGTCTTCCCCTTGCGCAGCAAGGGTGACGTCACTGAGGTGTTGATCGCCTGGATCCGCGCAGCTCGTCTCCAGCTCCGGGAGAGTTTCGGCTCTGACTTTCCTGTTCTGCGTCTGCACTCCGACAGAGGCGGAGAGTTCTCCTCTGACCTTCTGCGGGCCTTCTGTCGTGCACGAGGCATCCGCCAGACCTTCACGCTTCCGGACTCTCCACAGCAAAATGGGATTGCTGAGCGCCGCATTGGCATGATCATGGACATCGCTCGTTTGTCCATTGTCCATGCGGCTGCCCCCCATTTTTTGTGGCCGTTTGCGGTTCGGTACGCGGCGCATCAGATCAACCTTCACCCCCGGGTCTCCAGGCCGGAGACCTCCCCTGCTTTACTGTGGACGGGGAAGGTTGGCGATGCGTCTGCGTTCCGTGTCTGGGGATCTCGGGCGTTTGTCCGCGACTTGTCTGCGGACAAGCTGTCCTCTCGTGCTGTTCCCTGCGTCTTCCTTGGCTTCCCTCCTGACGCGCCAGGCTGGCAGTTCTACCACCCCACCTCTCGTCGTGTTCTGTCCTCCCAGGACGTCACCTTTGACGAGTCGGTTCCCTACTACCGTCTCTTCCCCTACCGCACTGCGTCCCTCCCTCCCCCGCCGCTCTTCCTTACGCCAGGTCCCCCTCCGGTAGACCCCCTCCCCCCTCAGGGTCCTGCTCCCTCAGGTGTGTCCCAGGTAGATGCAGTCGAGCCTGTCGAGGTAGCTGTTGACTCTGGTACTGCTGGGGGTGCTGAGCCTGGGGGTGCTGGGTCTGGGGGTGCTGCGCCTGGGGGTGCTGAGCCTGGGGGTGCTGCGCCTGGGGGTGCTGAGCCTGGGGATGCTACGTCTGAGGGTGCTGAGCCAGGGGGTGCTACGGCTGGGGGTGCTGAGCCTGGGGGTGCTGCGCCTGGGAGTGCTGAGCCTGGGGGTGCTGTGTCTCGGAGTACGGAGCCTGAGAGTGCTGGGCCTGGCGGTTCTTCGGGTGCTTCGTCCCGGCGGGAGCTACTCTCTCCACAGGAGCTGCGTGAGTGGTTCGCCCGGCGCTGGCGGCGTGCTGCTGGAGCTGGTGGTGCTGCGGACGCTGGAGGTTCTGCTGCTGCTGAGGGTGCTGGTGCAGAGGGTCCCAGAGGTGCTCGTACAGGGTGTACTGGAGCTGCTGGGCCTACGGGTGCTCCTCTTGCTGGTGCTGGTGGTGCTACTGGTGCTACTGGCGTTGGTGCTGCTGGTGCTCCTGGAGCTGGAGCTGCTGCGTCTTCGGGTGGTCCGACTGGAGCTGGAGCTACTGGGGGTGTTGGCGCTGGAGGTGCTACTGGCGCTGGTGCTGCTGAGGGTGCTGGAGTTGGAGCTGCTGGAGCTGAGGGTATGCCTGGTGCTGGTGCTCCCGTTGGGGGTGATGGTTGTTGGGTGCAAATGCACATTGCACGACATCCTGCCGTCTGTTTGTACGAGTATGCATGTGCGAATGCATTTGGGTGTGAATGGAATGTTCGTATGTTTGTTTGCTTTCGCAATTTTCGCTTGATGCATTTGCAGGTACTCGCGCAATGTGCGCTTCGGCACAACATTGTACGCGCTATAAACAGTGCAAGCAGAAAGGACGAGCTTGCAAAGGAACCCAGGATGGAAGCTTTGCGGTTTGGTTAAATTGGTTGCGCAGATCCAGTTCTATCCAACTCGAAATTGTACTGTTTTGTTTGGTTGACTATAGTGTAGCAGGGCAGGCACTATAGGGGTACAATTTGGGTGAAGGTTGGATGTTGTTTGTCTGTATCTGCATGCTACAGGGCCAGGGGAAACCAGCGGAACCAGCATTTGACTGGTTGGGCAAAGACAAAACAGGTTCTGTTTTTAGAACCTGAACCTGGTTGTTGTTTTCCCAGGTTGGAAAAACAGAACCAGAGGTTGTTTACCAACCTACCACCTGCTATTTTGTTCAGCCAGGTTGGTTCTGCTGCTTGGAATTATTTGGGATCATCCCTGGTTGTTCCCAGGTTGATTCCCAAGGTCTTTGCTAGCTAGAACTATTTAATCCTTCTCTGTTTGTACCTGAATATAGTCAATTGATTCAAGCGAATTCCTTCCTCGCTGGAATTTCGTTTCTGCGCTATTCGATGGCGGAATGCTACCCGAGTCAACGCTAGTATGCTAGCACTCCAACGCTAGGCAAACGCTGTCCGAGCCAGAACTTAGTAATGGCAGAACTTTTCGCGAGGCAACTTGGCTTATTTTAAAGCTCTTGGAGCGAGCTTCGTTATAGCGACTTCTCAGCTTAATCCAATCGATGATCTGCACGGCACGCTGCGCGATGTTCAAGGTACTCTTGTTATTTTGGCTTAGTTATTCTTAACTCCTCTCTTTACAAACTCGGACCCGAGGATAGGGGCTGGTCTTGTACCAGGCACCCAGGGACCCTTGGAGGTGACCCCGAGGAGAGGTTTTAAGTTTGATTAAGTCTTAATAGCCTGACTTTATTAGGCCCTTACAACAACACTGGTGCTGTTCCTGCTGGCACTGGTGGCGCTGCGCGGCCCCGGCCGTACTTCGTTCCGCTCCTTGAGCAGGTTCTTGGTCTTCCGTCCTCTCTTGGTCCTGCTCCTGCCTTAGAGTGTCCGCCTCCTGTCCAGTCTGAGTCACAGTTACAGCCAGCCTCCCCGCTTCCTTCTCCTTCTCCCTACACTGGTCCTACTGGAGGTCTTGCTGAGCGTCGTGAGCCTGCGTCTCGCCCTGCGTCGCCTAGTGGTCGTGGTTCGCGTCAGCGTCCTCCCCCTGTCCCCGGCACGCACCGGATGTCTCTGCGTCCTTCCACTGCTCCACTGCGTGCCCCTTTGCCTTCTCCTCCCGAGTCCTCTCTTCCTGCACTTGCTGACCCGAAGTCGGACTCCCTTCGTGCTGCGAGTCCTACTGTCACGCGTCTCCTCGCTACTGTCGTCAGCTCTGCCTTCGGATGAGTCCGTAGAGTCGAGTGGCCCGTACCCAGAGCTTGTTGGCTGCCTCATGTACCCGATGACCTGCACTCGACCTGACCTTGCATACCCTCTTAGCATTCTGGCACGCTATGTTGCTCCTGGGAGACACAGACCAGAGCACATGGCTGCAGCGAAGAGGGTGTTGCGCTACTTGTGCAGTACGTCGGGCATGGGGCTTGTGCTTGGAGGGCAGAGTCCAGTGGTCCTCACTGGTCACGCAGACGCTTCTTGGGCCGACGACCAGGCTACGCAGCGGTCGTCACAGGGTTACACCTTCAGCCTTGGTTCCGGCTCTGTTTCGTGGCGGTCTACCCGCTCGTCTTCTGTTCTCGGCTCCAGTTGTGAGGCTGAGATCTACGCAGGGGCCATGGCTGCACAGGAGCTACGCTGGCTCACCTACCTGCTGACTGACCTGGGAGAGCCGCCTCATTCTCCTCCAGTGCTGTACGTAGACAACAAGGCCATGCTGGCCTTGTGTCGGGAGCACAGACTGGAGCACAGAACAAAGCACATCGCTCTTCGCTACTTCCTTGCTCGTGAGCTGCAGCAGCGTGGTCAGCTGCGCCTTGCTTACGTGGCCTCTGAGGCCAACACTGCTGATATCTTCACTAAGGCACTCGCGCCTTGTGATCATCAGCGCTTCTGCACTCTGTTAGGTCTTGTGCCTACCTTGCCTCACTTGCTTACTTCTTGACCTTGCTTGTACTGTTACATATATATACCTGCCCTTGCTTGTTTAGCGTTATATATATGTAATCTTGCATGTGAACTGGCCTTGTGGCCTTGAACTTGTGCTCAGACAGTGTGGTGACTTTGTGATCCACCCTGAGCTTGCTTTGCCTTGCTTTGCCCTGACTGGTCTTGTGACCCCTTGTTCTTCCCCACTTTGCCTATGGGGGTGTGTTAAACTCATACACTATAGTCTGTGTAGGCTATAGTGGGGTATTCAATATGGGGTACAACCCTTTAGGGTTTGGTACTTGTACTTCTTATGCTGCTCAATGCATTCATTCTCGTTCTAATTCTCACAAAAACTCCATAGCTTCATTACCCCTTATTTGCCGCTACACCTCTGTTACGTAGACCGTTGAATTAGGAGAAACCCCGACAGCTGCACCGATTCTGTTCAGCTCCGATGTTGTCGGGTTCAGCACCGATGATCCGGTGTTGTCGGGGCCGAAACAGTGTCACATCCTCGAAATTTTCTTGTACGCCCAGCTGTCGAACTTGCGCAATACCGGCGTTTTTTAGCCAGCACAGGGCTAAACACAGGGCCCCACCTTTTTATTCCAGTGGCCAATAGGTCTTACATTTTGCCTTCAAAGCCTTGTGGTGTGAGGTGTGTGAAACATTCGGAAACCTCGGTCAGTAGTGGTACCCATCCGGCTATAGCCGCTTTGCCGCAGACGTTTAGGCATCAGCTTGAGCGGCTCCCCGTGGGTCGTAATTCCCGCCTTCTGAAACTCAAAACCTGTTTCTCTCGCTGGATCCGAGCGCGACGCAACTTCGTATATTGAAGCCGGGTTTAAACACTGAGCCGAATCGTTGTCCCGCCGGTGTACTGCCCTATCTGCGGTGCAACTACCCTTGATTAGGAGGTGCTGTGCCGCCTTAATTACATGGTCGGCTGTTGCTGTTGCTCCGAAAATTTTGCCGATCTTGTTGCAGGTATAGCAGTGACCCTGGCGATAGACAGTCTAGTCGTAGGCGGATTTTTCTGATCTTTTTGGTGGTTCGAAAAACAACTTCCGTCCCACACTGTGCCGCTCCTGCCGAAAACGCCAACGACGCACCCTCCTGCAGCCACACCGGCCGCACCCGGGTTGGACGGCGGTAGACCCCCACTTTATTCGGGCAGTCGCCACACCATCTCTCCTCGCCGTTGCATTTTCCGACGCAAATCACCATGCGCCTGGCCTGCTCGGCCAGCTGTCGTTTTATACGTGAAGCCACTTGAAATCTTCGCGCACTGTGATGACGCTCACAACGTGCTGAAGACCAGGGCCTCGGAAGTCAGCGAAAAAAGGTTGATTTAGGAAATCTCCTTCAATTTGTAGTGTAAAATAGCATAAAATGGCTGATTTGTCAGATTTTCAGCAAAACGTTTTGTACCAACTCTGTTTTTTCAGCCTAGGCCAAAACGAATCTGAGGCCCTGCCGAAGACCTCCGAGAAACTCGTGCGCAACGTGACGAAAACGCCTGGCGCCGCTTGTCGCACGCATTGACTCCGACTTTGTCGCGCGCAGTTGGCGACCACGTGACGAGTGCCAACTCGCACAACAGTTGCTCCGAAAATCTCGCACATGCAGTGACAACAACCTGCCTGACGCCAACTGCCGCATAAAAAACAGTGCCGAGATTAACAGAACCGACGAAAATAACAAACGTATTTAATATGCGATAGCCACAGCTGTCCACCACCCGGGGGGAGGGAGGTCACGGTCCATCTCGACCGTCGAAGGCAAGGATCCGTTCGTGCCGCAGGAGCGCCCGTAAAACTCATGGCCGCTAGGAGCAACTACCCGTTCTCCTGGCCGGCTACTGCGCTGCTCCTGTCACCACGGCATCCTTCCCTGTCCCCCCCCCTCCCCCCCGAAGGGTAACGTGATGCGTCGTCTCGGAAAACACGAAAAAACATATTCGTATTAGCGCCAAAAACTCCCTAAGAGAGAATACTATTGTAGGGGCTGCTCCTAGCGAGGACAGCCCGAACAGTTCGCGTCAGTTTGGGTTCGGCCTACACTTCCGCACCGAACTGTTGGGTGCAAATTTACATTGCACGACATCCTGCCGTCTGTTTGTACGAGTATGCGTGTGCGAATGCATTTGGGTGTGAATGGAATGTTCGTGTGTTTGTTTGCTTTCGCAATTTTTGCTTGATGCATTTGCAGGTACTCGCGCAATGTGCGCTTTGGCACAACATTGTATGCGCTATGAACAGTGCAAGCAGGAAGGACGAGCTCGCAAAGGAACCCAAGATGGAAGCTTTGCAGTTCGGTTGAGTTGATTGCGCAGATTCAGTTCTATCCAACTCGGAATTGTACTGTTTTGTTTGGTTAACTATAGTGTAGCAGGGAAGGCACTATAGGGGTACAATTTAGGTGAAGGTTGGATGTTGTTTGTCTGTATCTGCATGCTACAAGGCCAGGGGAAACCAGCGGAACCAGCATTTGGCTGGTTGGGCAAAGACAAAACAGGTTCTGTTTTTAGAACCTGAACCTGGTTGTTGTTTTCCCAGGTTGGAAAAACAGAACCAGAGGTTGTTTACCAACCTACCACCTGCTATTTTGTCCAGCCAGGTTGGTTCTGTTGCTTGGAATTATTTGGGATCATCCCTGGTTGTTCCCAGGTTGATTCCCAAGGTCCTTGCTAGCTAGAAGTATTTAATCCTTCTCTGTTTGTACCTGAATATAGTCAAATTGATTCAAGCGAATTCCTTCCTCGCTGGAATTTCGTTTCTGCGCTATTCGACGGCGGAATGCTATCCGAGTCAACGCTAGTATGCTAGCACTCCAACGCTAGGCAAACGCTGTCCGAGCCATAACTTAGTAATGGCAGAACTTTTCGCGAGGCAACTTGGCTCATTTTAAAGCTCTTGGAGCGAGCTTCGATATAGCGAATTCTCAGCTTAATCCGACCGACGGTCTGCACGGCACGCTGCGCGACGTTCAAGGTACTCTTGCTGTTTTGACTAAGTCCTTCTTGATCCCTCTCTCTACAAACTCGGACCCGAGGATAGGGGCTGG